TGTGGCGATCGTGGCGCGAGGAGCAGCGCGGCAGCTTTATATGCTAAAGATCCGGGTTCAAATCCACCCAGAATAATATAACTCTGAAATTGATTTTAATCAATTCGGAAGCGATCGCCGCCTCTCGGAAGGCAATGGCAAACCATTGAGAGTATCTTTGCCAAGAGAACCTCTTCTTAAAAAAATGGCCGTTCAGAACCGGCGTTAAAATCGTAGGTCCCGTATATCTGCGTAAAAGTGTAAATAGCGCACATCGCAGAAATACGAGAAGAAGTCACTACGCTCTGACAAGAGTAGTAGGACTATTGATTGATTGAAATAAAAATGATATATTCAAGTAGTTACTGAAATAAGTTAAGTTAAATAAATTAAGTTTCTTTTTGAAATTTCTCCGCATCCTCACATGTGGGAGAAACAAGTTAATGAATCAAAAAAATTAAAATCGTCTGTGGTGCCAACAATATTTGGCGAGCTTGTAACACAGCAAAAGCGTCAGAAAATCACTAATAGTAAGTAGAAAAAATCGTTCACAAGAATTGCAGTGAAAGAGTGTTGTTAATATATGTATAACATTATGTGAGATAACGTATCTGTGGTGTTGCGGTCAAGTTCTTACAATTTTGTTAACATATCAAGTCATGTACAAATTGTAATAAAGTATAATGTTACACAAATCGATTTGAACTATTTATTTTCATTTCAATTTGTTTCTTTTGCGATATATATATTTCGAAAATTTATATTTTTTAATAATATAGGTTCAGCAGATTTTTTTCGCTCCTACCTAGTTAGCAGTGCTGAATATATGCAGTTGGTTATAAATAATAATTAAAACAATAGAACAAAAAATATATATACACAAATATATATTTGTTTTATTGTTTTAATTATTGTATTTATAACCGACTGCATATTCAGCACTGCTAACTTTACGGTCCACACTATTCAGAATTACTATTCGTGTATTTTATTCTTAAATTTTTTAAGATGGATACTCTTGATAAATTCAATCCTAGTGCGTAATAAATTTTTCATTCATGATTCATTTAGTAGTTTATATTTAAGAGTATTAAATTTGAAAATGACAAGCGGATTGAAGAATAAATTGTTCATTTACGTACGTAATTCAAATTTACGCGCCTCAGTTACGCTGTCAATCGTAAAATGGCGACTTCCGGCTTATTGGCTTCACTCTACTTTTACCACTGAAATATAATAATACTGGAACGCGCATGACCCATGCCGCCTTTGTTAAAAGGAGATCCGAGAGAGAGCATTCAAAGTGGTATCTTTATCCTTTTCCAAGCTATACTGCGCATGTGCAATAGACGGTAGTGGGGCTCGTACAGTCTCGTTCTTTAGGCTGCGTTCCCACTGAGCGCGTCACGCGTCGCGTCATCCGAATTGACCAATCAAAACATCCCATTTTATTGCGTAACTTGCCGTGCAATCCGAAATTTCATACCAAGAAAAATTCTTTTATCTCTAGAATGTCGAATAATCTAATTGATGCGTCTTGCAAGAAGTTGCGCGGCAAATCATGCAATAAAATGGAATATTTTGGTCAATTAATCGTGACGCGCTCAGTGGGAACGCAGCCTAACGTCGCGGGCGTCGCGGCGCGTCGCGGATTGCAGTGCCGAAGCGTCGCAACGAGGGAATCGCGAAGCGCGCGCGCCGTGTCTCGTGTCGCGCATCGCGAGGCTCGCAAGGTACGTCGGGAAATGCCGAAAACGAGCGGGGCGCGGGTGAGCATAATCGCGTTGCATTAAATATCAGCGTGCACGTCGCGCGCGAGATTAATCGGCGTCATTCGATGTGTCCGCGTTACCGGCGCGTTACTCTCTATATACAGACACACGGTCGGGTTCCCGCCTCGATCGCGTTTATCCACGGTCTGTTTGTCGAAAAAAAAAAAAAAAAAAACGCGCGTGATTTCGGCGTTAGTTATTCATTCGGGGCTCGCGCCGCGCCAGTAATTGGATAGATATTTGCATACTGCGTGGCGCTCCGGTGATTCTTTTAATTCTTTGGATGGCATTTCGACTCGCGGCCCGGTTCGACGACGACGGAAGTATACGCGTGAAGTTGCCGCGCTTCGAGTCTCCTCGCCAACGTCACGGTGACGCCAAAGCGCGTCGTCCCGAACGCGCGTCGTGGAAACGAGTGATCGTAGTTGTGCCGCGTTAATTAGAGTATTCGCGGCCGTAATTAATCGTTTAGGCGTTTTCCGATTGACTGTCCCGGACGGCGGAGAAACAGCGCGGTGGAAAACGACTGGTAAGTAAATTTGTTCGATTAATTAACCCCGGCATTATCCCGGAAAAGCGAGTTTACCGCGAATCCGGAAAAAAATAAGCTGTACGCGGTGTTATATTCTCGTAATACACACTCGTTCGGTCGATATATAGTAATGAATTTGATATTTCATGCGTGCTACATTCGCGTTAATCCTATCTTTAGCAGAACGTAAAATAATAAAAAAAACAATAAAAAAAAGCTTTTTAAGTAAACAAATAATAAATAACGAAATAATGAAAACCAAACAGTAATCGAATAGGAAACTAAAAACATAATTTTCATCAGATCTTTTTAAACAAAAATTATTTTTCACTTAATTCCCTTTGCGTGAAAATATAATCTCTCTCCTCCTCTGAATTTATCGGTTTAAAAATTGCCAAGTATCTCTGGATCTCTGGATTTATACTTTCAGAAAAATAATTTTTATATATACGACAGATATATTTCGCATTCCACGTATGCGATGAAGAGATGGAAAAAGTCTTTTACATGTAGTTTTTCCTTTTCACTTGCAGATCAACGTTCTGACGTTCAGTTCTACGCGTCATTTCCAGTGAGTCTGCACACAGTTTTTTTTTGTAGCAAAATAACGGATTAATGTTGAGGAATTAAAATCGGCGTATCAAAATTTTTCTCTGCCCTCGCGATTGAATTTCAACGTCGGTTGTCTTTTGTTTACTCCTCCTATCACCACTCTTACTTCCATTGTGTACGCAAGGACTCTAACACTACTGCGAGAAAGCGAGCAAGTGTTAAACGATTAGATAAGCCACGTTAGAATGGTTTTATGGAGAATTTACGGCACCGTAAAATCCTATTAGATTAAGATGTTGCGAGAGCATTTAACACACCAAGACTGTTCTCTCATCATCGGCGCTATTTTTTTTTACGAGTTTAACAGACACGTTAGATTTACCTGAGGGTAGTTACCTTTAGCCGAACTCCCCAATCGAATGATACGAGTTCATTATGACACAAATATATAACGTTATATAAAAAAAAAAAAATCGGGGTTTTATAACCGAAAACGAAACGACGTGCTACGTTACGGTGTGCCAAAGCTGTAAAAAGAAATGCAATTAAAAGGAGGAATAGTTTAACTTGAAATTATTACAGTCTATTTCGTAACCGGAAAAGATTACGGACAGATTTTACTGAGCACGTAAAAACAGAGTCTCGCGACAGATTTCAAATAATCGACAATCGAAATAACATCGTGCTTAATGGTGCGTTTTATTTCGAGTGGTCGAACGGTTGAAAAGTAAAATTAAAATTAGCAGTAAGGGAAGAGGATCGTTATGGTATCCCTATATAGTTATATTATCCTGCATTGCCTTCATCACAACATCTTGCGTTAAAAGATAAACGGAACTGTGGAAAAAATATGTAAAAACCAAACGATAGATAAAAAGAAGAAACAGGGAACAAGAGCGAGAGCAGCAAAACTAATGGG